AATAAATCTATAGTAAAATGTGCTTCTAGAATTCAGATTTAAAAAATAATATTTATATCATAATATAATTAAATATGCAAATTATATTTTATTTTATTGATGAATTATACAATAAAATCGATTGATATTAGTTCTATTTAATATAATTTAATAATTTGGTAATTATTTATTGGAGAAATTTTCAATTCATCATATTAAATGACACTATTTTGCAAAAGTATTTCTCCTTTGATTATAATGATAATCTCATAAAATCTACTTAACGCTGGAAACTTAATATCTCATTCAATGTTGATACGTATAACGCTTTCCAGAAACGTGAACGGTATATTTTCAAGGCTTAAGAAGGGGAGAATAATTCTAGAATTATTACGTATATGATTTAACTATATGAAGCTACTTTTCGTTTCATGAAACACACATTGCGTAGTAAATTTTGAATTGATTGAATTTTATTAGTTGTTTTCCTATATTGATTATTATGATTTTAGATGAATATTTCCAGAAAACAATTAATTATTAAATAAGTATTTATAAATCTATTCAAATAATTAATTTATTAATTATTGCTTCCATATATATAGAATTATTTCATTGATAGTCTGATGTTAATTTCATCCAAATAATTTTTTCTTGAATATGAAATAGCAAGAAATAAATTAAAAATATTTCTTATCCTTTATTATAATCCTATCTTTAAAAAAAAATTTTTTAAAAAAACTGAAAAGTTGATAATTAATTATCATATAAGAATGTAGTAAAATGTTTTTTTTTTACAATGTATGTATTAAGTTTTATATTTTCTTTTTATCATATTTTTGGAATAAAAATACTATTTAGATAAATAAATAAAAATATTATTTTTATTATTCAATTAAGAATTGAATTTCTTAAAATTCATCACATAAACAAATTAAGTGATGACATTTACGAAATAGAAATAGAAAGAGTTATAAATAAAACGGTAACGTTGGATTTCTTATTGCTGAAAAACAAGTTGAACATATTTAAGTTCGTCTATTTAGATCAAATGAATCTCTGACATGTGCATTCTCCTCTATTTTTATCGTATTAGAGATTCAAAGTATACTTTCTGTGCTTCTGGAATTAAGTTTAAAATATTTTCTAAAAAATATAATATATTCATTTATATAAATATAAATATTAATTTATAATATAATTATAAATATTAATTTATATATGTTAAATATTTGTTAAATAAAAAAAATTTATTAAATATTTGTAAATATTGTATATAAATATTGTATACATATATAAATCCCTATAGTAAGTATAAAAAATTGAAAAATTATTCCAATTCGAAGTTATTCTTGTTTCTATTGCTATTATATATTGTATATTATTAATTATATATTAATTATTATATATTAATTGCATTAGATAATTATTTGAATCATTTTCAAATTTACATAATAATTTCTTTTTTTTAAAGAAATAAATAAAACGAATATATAAGAAATAAATAATAATATCAATAGTACTAGCAGACTTTAAAATATTATTTTTAATGTATTATTATTAAAATAGTTATTATTAAATGTATTAAAATGCATTTTTTATTTAATCTAACAATTTTAACTATTCTTAATGATATAACATTAAATATTATTCACGAATCAATATTTCAATGTCGGATTATTTCATGCATGATTTAGATGCAACTTAGATGCAAAATACAGTGAATAATAAGATTATCAACAACAAATTTATATTATATTATAAATTTATATGAATACATACTGTATATATGTATATGAATATAATTTATATAAATAACTATGAAAAAATAATATTAATTATTTTTTAACTATTTAACTAATTAATTATTTCTGATAATAATTTAATTTTCATTTTAAGGATATGCCTGGGTTACATTAGCTACCAATGATGCTTATTCTTTGGGAGCTTTAGTTTTGGCACATTCTTTACGTCGAGTTGGTACGAAATATGAATTAGCTGTTTTGATTACTCCTGGAGTAACGCAGATAATGAGGTAAGCTAAATTTGAATGATTTTTATTAATTAAATTGATATTTTTCAATCATGCATGTGCATATATGTACGTACATAATAAAAGAATTAATTCAATAATAATAATAAATATTTTTTATCGAAAAAAAAAGATTGTAAATGTATTTATATATTATTCATATTGTAAATTCATTTATTATTATATATTATTCATATTGTAAATGCAATTTATAATTTATAATAATATATATAATATAATAATATAATATAATATAATAATAAAATAATAATATAATAATTATAATATAATAATAAAATTTTATAATAAAATTATGATTTATTTATATTTTTTTATTATTATTATTATTATACAATTAAAATATTAATTTCAATTGTATTTAGGGAAAAACTTTCAGGAATCTTTTCTGTAGTAATGGAAGTAAATGTACTTGATTCAAAAGATGAAGCTAATTTGGCACTTTTAGCTAGACCAGAATTAGGTATTACATTCACCAAACTTCATTGCTGGAGATTGACTCAATATGAAAAGTGTGTATTTCTTGATGCAGATACACTTGTAAGTTTATGAAATAATATATTTTAATCATAAAATTTATTTGTATTTTTAAAAGAATTTTGAGTTTTTTAATTTCTATTTTAATTTTAATTACATAATTTACTTTTAAAACAATTTTGAATTTTGTAATTTGTTTATATTGCTTATATTTTAGGTTGTCAAAAATTGTGATGAACTATTTGAAAGAGAAGAATTATCTGCTGCGCCTGATGTGGGTTGGCCTGATTGTTTCAATTCTGGTGTATTTGTATATAGACCATCTCAACAAACTTTCGCTTCTATTACTGCATTTGCTGCTGCTAAAGGTTCATTTGATGGTGGTGACCAAGGATTATTGAATATGTATTTCAGTGATTGGGCTAGAAAAGATATTTCTAAACATTTACCATTTATTTATAATATGTGTTCTACTGCTACATACTCTTATCTACCTGCATTCAAGCAGTAAGAAAATATTTTTTGTTATTAATATAAGGAATAAATATAATATAAGGAATAAACAAAAATAAAATATTAATATATATTGCTTGTTAGGTTTGGAGATGATGTTAGAATAATTCATTTTATTGGTATTACAAAACCATGGTTACAGTATTTTGACACATTAACTGGTGTTGTTCAACCACCAATGGGTTCTACACACTTGCAACCATTATTACAATTATGGTGGAACATATTTTGTGAAAAAGTCCATTCTCAATTATCACCTGTAATGGTAAGTTATTTAATAAATCTTTTTTTAATTTTATACTTAATTTAATAAATCTTTCTTAATTTATGATGACAGTGAGTTTAATATATAATTTATAAATGTTTAAAATTATAGAATTTAACATTTAATTTTTTATTTTTTTTTATTTTTTTATAAGTTTCACTATAGTTTAATAAGAAAACAGGTAAGATTCACATATTATGCTTTTATATATTGCTCTTGTTAGTATCATATTATTATATTGTAAAAATTTTTTGAATAGAAATATTATAGATACATATTAAAAAACACAATCATGCATTATCTAAATATGCTTAATAAAATATAATTAAAATTGTACATATTGTACATAATAAAAATGTATTATTATCATGTATATAAAAATTAATATTTTACAATATTAATAAATATTTAAGAATTTAATATTAATAAGTAATTAAGAGATTTTTAAAAAATTTAATTTTCTAATCTTTATTAATCCTTCAGTTTTAGAAATTTTAAATTTTTAAAATTTGATATGCATGTAACTATTTCAAATAGAATTTCAAATAGAATTAGAAATAGATATTTGATCATTGATTTAAGAACTACTTATAACTACTTAAAAATAATTACACAATATTTTTATTAGTAAATAATTACACAATATATTATTACATTTATTTTTATTAATT